GTGCAGTGCGGAGGGGGGGTAGGTGGGTGCGGGCTGAGCAGCGGCCTGTATAGCTGGCGTCGATACGACAGTCGGGCTGGTGCATTGTGTGATAAGCAACGGTCCTAAAATGGTGCCCGGCCGCTGCAAGAGGCACAGCGGCTGATTGCTCTGCGGGCCACACGCCGCCTGATGGGCCGCGCCCCTCGGTTCCATGCCAGCCCGGCGCCAGACCTGCTCCATGAAACGGTGCAGCCAGGCTGCTGTCGGTGCCAGCTGCAGCCGCGCCAGCGCCCACACCAGGTTTGCGAGCTGCTGCGGCCCCATGCACTCTATCTGCCGCGCCGCCTCCGCCACCAGCCGCCCCGCCCACGCGTGCGGCGGGCGGAAGCGCAGCAGAGCGAGCGAGTAGGCGGCGCAGGGCAGCGTCGGCGCGATCGGCGCGTCCAGGGCGCGGCGCGAATAGGACGCCATCCATGCGTCCAGCCAGGCGCGCGCCGGCTGCGCACGCAGCTTGGCGCAGGCCCACAGCAGCGTTGCCAGCTCCGTCTCCCTGCACGCCGGCATGACAGCCAGCGCGCGGCCAAGGGCGGCGCCCAGCCAGTCGCCCGGCGGCGCCGTGCCCATTGCTGCATGGGCCCACAGCGCATTGGCCAGGTCGGCCGGGCCCCACGACGACGCCACCGCCGCCCGCGTCGCCGCGTGCCATGCGCCCCAGAACGCCGGCCCCGGCGCCGCGCGCAGCGACGCGAGCGCCCAGAGCGTGCCGCTTGCGGCCTGCGGGGACGCGCCCGGCGCGCGCACCGCTGCGGCTGCGGCGGCCGCGTGCAGGAATGTAGGGCTGGGGGATCGACGCAGCTTGGCCAGGCCCCACAGCAGGTTGTAAACACCCAGGTCGGTCTGGCTGCCGAGACTGCGCGCAGCACCCTCCTCAAAGGCCGCCAGCCACCCGCCCGGCGGCCACTCCCCGCCGCCCGGCCCCGCCGCGTCCGCCTCCACTGTTGCAGCGGTGCTGATCGTGCCGAGCGCCCAGGCGGTGTTGGACAGCGCCTGCGGCCCAGCATCATCCAGCAGCCGCGCGGACAGCGCCAGAAGGGGCGCAAGATCGGTCAGGCGCAGCTGTGGCGGGGAGGGGGACGAGACGGCGGCCGCGACTGCCCAAAGAGCCATGGAGACGTCCTGGGCGCTCGCTGCGGGCGCAGGCGCTGCCGCAGCAGCGCCGATGGCCACAGCTCCCTCCTCGCCAGCCACTGCTGCAACGAGCAGTAGCACCTGCGGCGCCGGCGGCGCGAGGCCCATCTTGGCCAGAGCCCACAAGGCACTGGACGCATCACGAGGGGTGGGCCCCTGCTGCTGCTGCTGCTGCTGCTGCTGCTGCTGCTTCCGCCGTTGCTGATCAACAGCTGCGCCAGAGCCAACGGCCAGTGCTGCGCGCAGCAGCTGCTCCGCCAGCAGGGAGCGCGCAGCTTTGGCCTCGCGCGTCTTTGGGGGCTGCGGGGACAGGCGCGCCAACTGCATCAAGGCCGCCGCCGCATGGCAAGGCGCCAACACAAGTGGATTGGCAGCAAAACCCTGGGTGGGTTGCACAGACGTCGATGCCTGCACAACAGCAGCCAGCTCTTCCACTGAGGAGCAGCCGCGAATTGTGGTAGCCAAAGCGTGCTCCTGGGCGGGCCACCGACGGGCGGCGCCACCACTGCCACCGCCATGTCCGGACTGTGTGTGACGCAACCGCCGCGGCTGTAGCGAGTGCCGGAGCTCGGCTCTCACTTCGCTGCACTCCTCTCCAGCATGCCTTACTCCTTGGGCTGCGCTGTTGCTGCTGCTGCTGCGGCGGCTGCTGCTGCTGTTGCTGCTGCTGATGCTTTCAAAGTTTCCTGCTGTGAAACATGCTCCTGCATCAACTGAATTGTTCAGGACGGTGGCAGCTCCCGCCACCGGCACGGCTGGCACTGCACGAGCCGCCGCTACACTGCTCGCTGCCTGGAACAACGGCGGTTGAACACGAGCGGCCGCTCTCGCCCGCTCAGCATGCTGTATGCGATGTTGCTTCCGCACAGAAGCCGTCCCCCACGGTGTGGCCGCCTGTGCAGCACAGCGATGTGACTGTATGAGGTGGGCCAGCATGCGCATCAGGCCAGCTTGCACACAGCATAGAGCCCCTGGCCGTCTCTGCCAGCGTGCTAGCCACAGAGCTCACAACATCCAAACTTACGGCATCAGTGTGCAGATTCATCACACATAGGGCGTATAAGCCCCTGCCACCGCCACCAGCGCCCCGAGCTTTGTGTTCACAGATCACGCTATTCTGTGTTATCATATGTCGAGGCAGACTTTTTCAATGCAGGTAAATGCAGCGATAAGGCGTGAGAGTGTGGGGTTCCATCGCGCACATTGCCATTCAACATTGACAACGGCTGGCATGCTGACCACACTGACGACCACCCGACAGGCTTGTTCAGGTGCGAGCCTGGAACGAGGTGTCGTGCCTTGCTTTGTGTGTTGAGGTGTCTCGACCCAATCATTTGTGCTTATGATAAGGTTCGCGACGCTATGATGTGCTAAAAGTCTAAAGCTTGCACAGCCCTGGCGCCTTGATGTTCAATACCGTCTACCGTAATGCCATGCACGAGCGCTTAGGCTGGCATGTAAAAGCGCTGAAAAGATGATGATTTGGCACCTGAAATTTTATTCATGTCAGGCAGGCGCGCACTGCAGGTGGCGACGGCCGGGCGCCACCACCACACACACTCTGAGCCAGCTTTGCGAACTTTCCGCACCAACCGGTCCCCAGCCAAATGGACACTGATGTCACAAAAGTGTGAAGCAGCAGGTACGCGATGATCCCCCTTTGCGGGGTGACCCTTTCGTGCCTGCAGTTCTGTTCGTTTCCTGCTGAAATTGCTAGTTGACTTGAGCTTGATGTTTGACATCAGGATCCCCGGTGGCAAACACTGGTAATGACTATCAGCAAAAAGACTGGAATACGCGACTAGTTTCAAGACAAAGGGCGTGTTTCAAAGCACGTAACAGTGCCATACTGGGGGCGTGCGCCGGTGCACGTCAAAATTGGGAGCAGACCACCCTTCAAACTTCTCACGCTCTCCGCTGTGGTGCGAACGACGCACCACTGCTCGCGTTTGTGTTGCTCCGCAGTGCATTGGCAACCACCTCAGCTGCTATCCAACATGCTCGTGGCCCTGTAACCTGGAGACAGATCTACGGACAAAATTAAACTCTCCGCATTTTTCAGCTGCGCGAATGCAATGCGTACCCACTACATCTGAATCATAGATGATTCCGTCCTTCTCTAGATGCGCTTGTGGACCGCCGGCGCCGGCGGCCACGACACAGCAGCAAGCGCTGCGGGCGCGCCTGCTGCACTGGCGAGCGCGCCTCTGCAGCCTTGCTAGGTGAGCTTGGCGCATAAGCACAGAAACAATGCTGGTTCATTTGTGATGTGCACTAGACGCCGAGCCCTGGGGCGCAGGTCCAGCAACTCGATACCAATTGCAACACCGGCTGCCAGGCACTGAATGCCGCTTCCGCACACGACGCTGCTCCCCAGGGCCCCACCGGCGGCAGTTAGGACAGCCCCCAGTGCTTGGGCACTAGACAGGGCGCAAATTAGCAGTGGCAGTCAGCGGGTAGATGCGGCTTCGGCAGTGCCCGCGCCGGTCTCTGACGCGTCGGGTGGCGAGGGCGATGACGCTGCTGGCAGCCACTTGCGGGAGCCTTGGCCGCACGAACAGCCGCCGCGCAAGCCACAGGCGCGACTGTACCAGCCGCGGAGCGACACCTCAGAGCGCCACCCGCGGCGGCAGGCGCCCCGGAGCCAGGAGAGCCCCGCAGCCCGCGCGGTGCGCGCCGCCACGTCGTGGCGGCACTTGCTGCCGCCGGCGTCTGACCTGCGCGCCATGTCTGACCCTGGGCTCCTCAGCTTCACACTGCTGCGTGCATTGCGCCTCGGCCCGGGGCGCGGCGCGGGGCGCGGGGACATCGAGCAGCACGGCGCATTCGTGGCGCACCTGCTAGAACTCTGCGCCAGGGTGATGCGCAAGGCGGCGCGGCGCAGCGGGGTGGCGTCGTCGGCGACGCCCTCAGAGGCGGCGACCACACAGGTGCCACCGGCTGGCGGAGGGCAGCTCATCTCTGGCAGACACAGTAACCCTGACAGCAGCGACGTTTGGGGCGACGGTAGCAGCAGCAGTGGTGGCAGCGACGGCGGCAGCAGCAGCATCAACGGGGACAGCAGCGTCGGCGGCAGTGCCCATGGTGACGACAGTAGCAGCGCTAGTGGCGGTGGTAGCAGTGGTGACACGGACAGCATTGATGTGCGCAGCGTCGGCGTGAATGTGGCGCCTGCTGCCAGGTCGTCCGCGGGCTTCGCGCCCTACCAGGTGTCAGGGATGATGTGGCAGCTGTCGCGCTCAGGAGTGGCGCCGGGGCGGCGATTTGAGCGGGAGCTTTGGGCCAGCACGGCGGCGCAGCTGGCGGCGGGGGTGTGGGGTGCGCAGGACCTCTCCAAGCTTGCGTTTGCCCTTGCCCGACTGAGGGCGGGTGCGACGGCGCCCTACTCGTGGCGGCGGCTGTTCCTGGATGCCTGGGCTGTGGCTGGGCGCGGCGCGGACCCGCAGCAGGCATCAGGATTCCTCTGGGGCGTCTCGGAGCTCGGGTGGCGCGTGGCGCCAGGCTGGCTGGCCCAGGCGCGCGGCGCGGCGACGGCGGTGCTGCCCAGCTGCGGCGCGCGGGACACCGCGTGGCTGCTGGCTGGGCTGGCGGCGCTGGGCGAGCGGGTGGCGGTGGGCAGTGGAGATGCTGAGCAGGAAGCACAGGATGGGCGGGGCGGCGAAAGTGCAGGCGTTGGCGGCGAGAGTGCAGGCATCATCGGCGGCGAGGGCGGTGCAGGGCACATGGAATGGCCTATCGACCGCCAGCACAGCAACTCCCGGGCACAGCCTCTGGCATTGCCTCTGTCTAAGCAGCAGCAGCAGCAGCAGCAGCAGCAGCAGCAGCAGCAGCAGCCGCAGCAGCCGCAGCAGCATCAGCAACATTCCCTGCCACCACTCTTTGGCATCCAGGCGACACGGCCAGATTGTTCTCTGCCGCTTGCAGTCAACTCAGCGCTGCTGCGGACGCTGCCGGCGATGGACCCGCAGCAGCTCGCGCTCACAGCCGGCGCCCTGGCGCGCATGCAGGGGCTTGCCAACAGCATCGGCGGTATCGGCGGGGATCACTCTGAGGTGGTGCGCATGCTGCTGGATCATGCCGGCGAGCAGATGGGCTCCTTCAGCTTTGGTCAGCTGTCAGACCTGCTCTGGGCTGTGGCCCGGCTGCACGCAGCCACGCAGCGGCGGCAGCAGCTGCTGCCACCAGACGGCTGGGCTGACGCGGCTGTCAACCAGCTTCAGGCGCAGCTGCCCACGTGCCGTGCCGGGGAGATGGCCACGGCGCTGTGGGCGATTGGAACGCTGGGATGGAAGGGCCAGCGGGCGCAAGTGGCTGCGCGGCTGCTGTGGCGGAGCGAGCGGCTGCTGGACGAGATGGGCCCGGGCGACCTCGCCAAAACGGCCATGGGCCTGGCGCGCCTTGGCATGCGGCCGCCGCAAGTGTGGCTGTTCCACTTCCTGCGCGCCACGGAGGGCAAGCTGGCGGAGGGGAGCCCCCAGGCACTGAGCAACACGGCCTGGGCACTCGCGTCGCTGGGGGCACGGCCCTCAGAGCGGTGGCTAGACGGCCTCTGCGCAGCGGTGACGCAGCCGGCGACACTGAAGCGGTTCAGCGCCAAGGAGATGGGGTTGCTGCTGTTTGCCTTGGGCAAGTGGCGCCACGTGCCGCGCGACGCTGCGCAGTGGCGCACTTTGCAGGCGCGTCTGCGGGCGGTACTGCGTGGCGCGGGCGGCCGCACGCTCGCACTGGTCGCGCCCGCGCTTGGGCGGCTTCAGCGGCGGCGGGCGCCGGGCGGCGGCGGCAGTGCGGGAGTAGACAGAGATGACGGCGGCGTGGGCGTGAGCAGCTGGGCCAGCAAGCCTGGCTCTGGCCGAGGCAGTGGCGCCGTGGTCGTGGAGCCGGGCACGGCGTACGTACTCATGCTGCGCGCTGGATCGCTTGCTGCCCTGCAGCCGCGCGGCGTGCAGAATGGTGCAGGGCCGCCGCTGCCGCGGTGTGCGGGCTTTGAGGCGGCAGACCTGGCCGAGGTGGGCAAGGGGCTGGCACTGCTGGCGGTGGAGCCGAACGCGCAGTGGCTCAGCACCTGGCGCGGCGCCGTCGAGCGGGCAGACGCGGCACTGGATGTGCGGGGCCGGGGGACGCTCGCCTGGGCGACCGCGGTGCTGGAGGGGCGTGCAAGCGTGGAGGGCTGCGTGACGGGTTACGGTGAGGATAACAGCAAGAAAGCTGCGGCTTCCCGGGCCACGGCTGACGCAGCAGCTGAGGACAGCGGTTTTGGACCGTCATGAATGCATCGTGCGATGGCGGGGGTAACATCGCGCCCTGACAAGAATGTAACAAATGATTCTATGTGGCCTATTGCACATTCAAAGGGACGTGGCGCGACAGCGGCACACTGCTGGTAACATGCTGATGAGCTGACCGGTGCCACAAAAAAGCGGCGCCCTTCAGTGGCTAAAAGCATGCGCGGCTGCGCTCACACACACTCAATGAACAAGTGGTGCTCAATAATCTCATCAACGTCAATATTCGCGTGCACAGACTTCAAGAAGCATGCTGAACGCTCAGCCTGGTGGATCATTGTCTCGGGCCGCGGGTGGGTGAAAGGCGCGCTTGAATGCAAGATAAACGCTCACCACGCACTCTGTGTTGTAGTGCCTGAGGTTGCCAGCGGGTGTTGTGTCGGATGTAGGTGGGAAGGCAGCGCGCGTGCTTGACGATACTAGAAGCCCCAACCAGGACGCGCGAAGTGTTTCTCATGCATCCAAGAAGCAATTCCATGCCGCCCGCATTCATCTAGCAGGCCGCGCGGCTCGCCCAGCGCGGACTGTGGCACCGCCACTGCCTTTGCTTGCGCGCCGCCGCACCACGCGCTTGGCAAGCAGCGATCGCGACGGCGCACCTGTCGAGACCGCTGCTGTTGAGACTGTGCCTGAGAAGCCCGATCACCAGGAGGCTGGCAGCAACGGCAACGGCGCCACAGCTCAGGCGGCAGCAGTGGAGGCCACCCCAGCCACAGAGGCCGGCAAGAAGGACGACAAGCAGGCATGGGACCCGGCGGCTTGGCGCATGGACCCCGCAGCACTAGCGCCCCTGGAGTTCAAGCCCCTGGACGGCGGCGAGCTCATGTGGTCGCGGTTCAAGCTGGCGTTTGCGCTGCCGTGGCGGCGCTTCAAGAAGGGCTCTGTGCTGGCCTTCAAGGTGGGCGTGCAGCCCTGGCTTCACAGGAGTTGATCACTGGTGGGCTGCAGGCTTGCGCATCAAGAACACCAACATGCGCGGCTCACAGTGTGACGGAGCTTTGAGCCATGACCTTCGTTGCAGCTGTCAGCAGGGCGGCCTCTCCACTGTCTCAGTCCTCTCTGCCTCACCTCATCCCCCGTCCCTCTGCTTCTCCTCATCCCCCTTGGTGGCTGCACGCACTCCTTGCCCCGTCAGCTTGACGGTGAGGTGTCTGATCAGCTCAAGGGGCGCTTCGCCCCAGGCTTCAGCATCCCCCAAATTTGCAGCGCTCTAGAGAAGGCGGCACTGGACCCCCGCATAGAGGGCATCGCCGTGGAAATTGGGCCCCTGGGGGTGAGAGGGGTGGGGTCGGG